ATTTTCAAACTGATTATATCTTTTTCAATTTGCAATGTGTATTGTGTAAACTTTAGCAACAAAAGACATTGAAACTCATCATGCTCTTTTTAAAATTGGGTAGCAACGTGCTTATTGACATTGCTAACTCACATTTTTTTCAATTATTTTGATATCTGGTAGTGATAGGGTTGAAGTAGTTTGGAGGTTCTAAATTATTGATTATTATTTCTTTGCGAACTACATATTGTGACATGCCCACTGCTACCCCTTCTTATTATTATTATTATTACTAAACTTTATTGACTTTATTTCATTTTTTGGTGTAGCTATCAATCAAAGGTTTTGGGCACGTACATACATACATACATACATACATTAACTCAGAGTATCTTCATTTTCTTTGTGATCTGAAAATTGCTGCTCATACGAGTATCGAACAATGAAATTCTAAATTTGTTAGGAAATGTTTTATTACTTATTCTTTTAACTAATTCAAATTAAAAAAATAACTATTCAGTAATTTGTTTTGAAATTGCTAGCGACGTAAAGTGTTGACTACAAAATTCATTTTATTTTGATATTCTTTTTGTTTCTGATGTTTGACTGAAATATATCTTTAGACTTTCTTTAATTTTACCAATTTTTGATAGATATCGACTATCTGTTTGGAAAATGACAATTTATCGTAAATTTATTTCTTATAAATTAAAACATTCTTGGCCTTGCTACATTGTTTATAAAGTCCTTGAACTTATCTATACTTTCCTTTACAAAATTATTATGGCATACATTTGGCATTGTGACGAATTCAGTGACTATTTCACATTTTCATTTTGGAGCTCTTCACATTACCACAAACAATTTGTGTTCAAATTGCAGCAATTCACAATCTAATTATCTGCCGAATATTAGTCTGTTCTCATTAATTTGTTTTTAATTTGTTCTCTACTAATCGTGAACACGTCATTTTCTACTTCTCACATACTAAAACAAAATATTTTTTAAATAATGCTCTTATGACCATAGCTCCTCCCACTACCAAATCAATTTTAGTTCTAACTCAAAGAAGAAAAAATGTTCCTTTTCACCTACAATATATGTCAAAGTTAACTTGTTTTATTGTTACCACCTCAACTCAATGCGCTTTTTTGCCCCCGCAGCCTTGCATCTAGTCCCCTCTTGTCATGTCAACAATGACTGTTATTTTAATATACTTTGTTTCCCAAAAAAATTTTAAATTGTTAACAATTTATTTCACCAATGGTAATTTTCATTTTCCGAAAACAATTTTCTTTTTGAAACTTCCAAGTTGAAATTAAAGATTCAGTTTCAATGCTCTTAATTTGTAATCACGTGTTCTTGTCATTTTGTCAGGTATTAAGGATTTTCATAGCAGCCTTACTAAACATTTAGGCAGTAATCTTGGAGATCTTTCTGAAGGTTTAGATATGCAAAAAGGTTCCAAAAGAAGGCGCATGTGCTTGGATTTCCTGGAAACTATTGATCAGACAGGTGAATTAACTGATAAACAGCAACCTTTTGATACAGTGAAAAATGAACGAAACTTACGAGCAGAGTTGATGACTCAAAGTATGGATGAAAGCAGGTAAGTTGTTGGTATTTGTTACCATGCAGATTTTGTTCCTCAATGAGCAAATTACATTCTATAGACTTTCCCTTTACAGATACTTGGAGTATAGTAATGCTCGACGAACATCTTTCACCTATCGAACTGGACATGTCAACAAAATTCAAAAATGGCTTCAGTCATGTGGAATGTTCCCAGAACTTCCCAAAGTGAATCCATTGCTATACCAAATACTAGGTATTGTAATTTTGAATACTTTTTTCCCATTGCTGTCAAATTGCACGAAAATAAAACAAAACACAAAGAACATAGACTTCTTAAAATAATCTAAATCTTATGAGGTGGATGTGAAACTGAAAATTATGAAATTTTGGATTAGCAGTAGTTAGAGAGAGGAGGTAATTATTAGAAGTTCATATTATAAATACAAAATTCCTCAATTAATAATTAAGGTATGGGAAATAAATTAAGAACCTGTCTCGCTGACATTTTTGTTTTCTTAACTACATTGCATGAATAATTAAAATTTACCATCGGTCTGAATTATATTCACCTCTAGCTTTCTTTGTTATTTATATTTATTTGGAACTTATTGTGATATTTTTCATTTATTAAGGTAGGGATTTTGTATTGGCTTTGTCTTAATCTCAGCAAACTAGCTGTGCACCCCTGCAGAAATTCTTGTAGTATTAACAGAAAGACTACAATAAACAAAAACAATGTAATTCCTTTGTTATATCATTTCATAAAAAAATTAAGTTGCAAATAAACTAGCTGATTGATTCACATAATTAGACTGATAAGTTTGTTATGGGCATCTTGTAAATTTAAGTAATTTGGAACTATAGTTGAAGAAAAATTACATTCACTTTAAGAGATTTTCATATCTTATTTTGTTTTTAGCATACTTAGCATATGAAACAGTTGCACAAATTGTGGATTTGTCACTTCTTGTAAGACAAGATGGAGCTGCCAAACCTGGTGATGCTTTCAGCTATTATGTAGCAGGCTTTACTCGCATGCCAGGTTCATATCCAGCACAACATGCCACAGAACATAGTGCAAAGAAGGTATGTCTCCTTCATTTTTTAATATTATTTAAAGGAAATATTTAATATAAATAGATAAATATATTATTTAAAAATGTAAAAGTATGTAAATGTTTGCTTGTTACAAAACACCTTATTTCATGGTATGCAGTGCCTTAGAATGTCTAGTAATGTCATTTGAACTCCTGGCATGTAACTTTGTTTACATAGATAAGAATTTCTGATATTTTAACTTTTCATCATTTTAGTTTATTTATGGTGTGTTAAAAATTAAAACATTTCAAGTACATTTTATGAACAATAATTGATTAAATATAATTTTTTTAAATAGAAATAATTGTATAGGTAGAATATTGACCAAGAATGCCTGGGAGGGTGAATTTGAATCCTTTTGTTCTGATCCATTTCATGCATTTCAAAGGTGAACATTTTTTTATTTGCTTTTTAGTGTTTTGGATTCATTTAGAGATAGCACATTACTTTGTTTTATGGCTTTCTTAAACAATGCATACAAAATGATGAATCATAAGTTGTTTTATGATCGTACAGCGGGAAATCTCTCTGCTTCAAAAAGCCCATCATTACCTTATGAGAGTTCCCAAATTAGACAACATAGCTGTTGAATTACAATATACTTCAAATCATTTAAATAAAGAAAAATGTTACAGCTTAAAAAAATCCACTTAAGGAGGTCAGTTTGCGCTACAGGTGATTGATGATGATGATGATAATGATAATGATGTAGTCAGATATACATAGTTCTTTCAGTTGTCATTTTGTAATTTTAGAATTGATGAGATAGTTCAGATTTAAAATGAAATCAAGCAGCTGGTTGTGTCTGAAAAATTATATTATTTTAAGTGATATCTGAAAATATTCCATTTAGTGAGCAATGTTTGTACTCATGTTACAAGTCAGGAGAATAGAGTTAACAGATATTTTCCCATCCAAACTAGATATACTTAAAGTTTGTGGCATAAAAACCAAATGAATACATCATACAATTGAGGCTTGTGGTGGATCACCAGAAGTGTGTGCATGCCAATGCTTTTCCATGTTGTGAAAAGAGACCAGGACGTTTTCAAGCAATGAAAAGAAACCACTGATTTATGTAGCAATGAACCTCACAACAGAATATGAAATGGTTGATGAAATGGCTGGGCAACTTGGGAATATTGTACAAAACATGCTTCAGAACTATGAAAACCATTATTACTTGTTTTGGTTCTTCCAACTGTCATGTTTACACTCAATGGTGAGCTAAGTCAGTTATAACAAAAAAATAATAATAAGTAATAACTGAAAAGTTTGAATTAGCAATTTGTTGCAGAATGCTGGCATTTAACATACATCAAGTGTAAAACAAAAATGTGTGAAGAAAATATGATAAATAAAGTAGGCGACATTTGTGAGATAGTAGCTTACTGGAAAGGAAGGCAAAAAATGTTTAAACTACGATTTTTAACTCTTTTATTCAAGAAATTGTTATTTTTAGGTGTTTTAGTGATAGAGATTAAAATTTTTGCAACATCAATTCTTGAGAAGTATTTTTGAAACCTTGAAATGACTGTGCTAAATTTTCTTTGGAGGCACAGCTAATATTCATTCTAGTGTCAAACTATAGAAGTAATTGCAAATCTTTTTTTAGTAGTAATTCCTGGCAAAACTGTTTCCAATGATAAGTATGGTCTAAGTATGTGTGTTCTTTTATCAGTATTTTATTTTTCCTGATAATTTTTTTCTTCAAATTTCTGTGTTGGCAATATATGTCTTGTTTCTGTTTTGAAGATCCATTTTGTGCACAACTAAAATGGACCTGCAATTCTTAAATATTGCCGATTGTTGTAGGTTGGTGGAGCACCACCAATAACTCCAGCTGAAATCCGAGAAGCTTTGAGACGTTACTGGTCACCTCAATTGTCACCTTGGAGCCCATTTACTCGCTCCCTGTCATCAAACATGCATACAAAGTTATTAATGTGTTGAACAGTTAGTAAATGGACATTTCACTCTTGTAGTTTAACAGTAACTACTGCTAAACTGCTAGGTGCTTTCTGTTGAAAGCATTTTTTTTTTTTTTTTTGTGGAATCTCATACTATTTTTGTTAGTTATCTTATTAATGTACAATTTTGAACACAATTTTAGAGGTAAACATCTTTTCCATCTTTCACTGCCTCAAATCTTGTGCTACTTTGTGAGAGAAAGGAACGGTATTTATGAATTTTTTACATTGTAAAGAACAAACTTTTCAGAGAGAGAGATGACATTAAATATTTGAGGAAGAAGAAATGAAGCACATTTAAACTAAAGTACTTCAGAAAACCATTTCTGGCACTGTGGAGAAACCATGTAGAACAGGTGTTTGCATGGTTTTGCCTTTTTTGGCCTTGACAAAAACCTACCAAAATATAACTGTTGTAAACCTACTTCATTATTTCTTACAATGAATTATAAGTGTAAATATATGTGTTCACATATGTATGTAGACTAGAATGCTGACAAAAATCAAGCTATTCAAAGATGAAAACTTCTTAGGAAGTTATGTCTGACATGTTGCTATCGTACGGTTGTGTTAATATTCAGTTTTTCTAAATCCCCCTGGACTTTAATTTATCCATTTGCAATCAAACTTTTAAAATAAATCATTTCTAAACCTAAATTGAAAATTTGATTTATTTTGTTTGCTGCCATTCTCGTACTAACAATTCCCATTTAACTGGAAGTCAAATGCATCATAGGTGTAGATCACAAGTTTAGAGAAAAACTTTAAGATTCAAATTTCTTAATATTCCCATTTTTATCGTGGTCCTGATGATTACAGATATTGTAATTGTTATTGTACTGCAATCAGTGCTAAGGTACTCTTGACTTAACATTTATTCCGAACTACTGATCAAGGGAACACCTCATTGATATTCTGAATGAAGCTAAACATGCATAGAATCAAAAGTTATTAGTTGAGATTGAAATATTAATAAAGACAAAAATGCGTGCAGTGTGAGGTAGTATTTTTATTTTTTAAATTTATTGCATCTATTTTGCAACAAGTTTCTTAGCTCTTTTGGGCATTGAGCAAAGATAGATTTTGGAGTAACCCTCTGTTAACAGGCCTGCCACTTTCTGGAAAACAATGAAAACTCGAAAAAACAGGGAATTAAGAGACATTTCCTTTACAAAATAGTTCAGAAAAAATAGTGACTAGTTTGTATTGTTGAGAAATTTTAAAAAAAAAAGTATTACTGTAAAATCAGAGAGCTGACAAATTAGTATCAAGCTTGTTCCAATCTTTCAGAAAATCTGAAATACTTTACAAATCTTACCAACGGAAAAATTGAACTGGAAAACTGGGAAAAGTCAGAGAATTGTTCCAGGAAATGAGTGACCATCCTGGTTATGTTTTGTCTTGTAATGTTGCAGTCAGTAAAAGCCTTTTGACCCTTTGGCCAGGGTTTCAGTGCTGTTAGTGGGTTCCCAGTCAGTCACCAATCCAGGAATCTGTGGTGTCTTGAGTTGCTTAACTTCACAGAGTGTAGTTATGCAATTCAACTAACGACATCAGATTGCAAGTGAAAGATTGTGAAACAAATTTCCAAGAGCTCTTGACTCTTCATGAGTGGCCGAAGAAAAATTATTTGGGGAAATTTGCCACCTTGAGATTAGGGCAAATAAGGCCTTATAAATTTTGCAGCTAATGCACAGAATGCATTATTTCATGGAAATTTTTCCACCGTCATTCGAACAGGAAGAGCAGAGCACGAAGTGTGGTCTACAAACCAGTAGTCAGCTTAAAACCCTTGTTTTGTTTTTTTTGCATATTGTGTTTTAATTAAATTTCAATCAAATATAACGTGTACATCAATAATATGTCTTCAAAAATGTGTATTATTTCTCCAATTCTTAAATTCAAATCAGAAATTGTATGTTTGACAACTTTGCCCAAGAAGAGAAAATGTATTACATTGAATACTTCAATGTGTAACTTTCACCCGTTGTAATCATTTAACCCTAGAAATTTCATGATCTCAGTCTTTTGCACCTCTTCCCTACTTATGATTACATTAAAAAAATATTTGATGAAATCAATTGTTTTAGGTTATTACAAATATTTTTTCAATACCATGCTTTTAATACAGTTAATAGGTTAAAGAAATGGAATCAAATTGATAGTGAAGGATTCTTGAAAAAGTTGATGATAAAAGTTTATTTGTAATGTTTGGTATGGTGTTATGGTTGATAAACTTATTTCAGCAAAGACTCTCTAAACACATTTGAGAAGAAAAATCTTATCCATGAAACATACTTGTAATAAATGTTACTTCTACTGATATTTCTATTTGAAACTAAAAGAAATTAAATGGGTTTTCAGTTTCTCAAACCCATGGATCGATTGTTAAAAGAAACATTTGTTTAGGTGTATGGAATGACTACCACAGACTTTTTGAAATTCATCTCCAGTTTTCCCATATATTAAAGTTGTTTTTCATTCAAACGTAGCAGTGAAATTAAGGTAGTCAATGTACATTCATTAATTCTAGATTGTTTTTGTTTTCTAAAACGAAGTAATGTGCATATAACAATTTATACTATTTATTAACAAAACCGTTTTCCTCTCTTGGGGGCCAGCTAAGCTGCTCCCCACCCGGCATTACATCCACATGCTGCTATCTGCATTTAGGGTCTTGGGAGGTGTCCCCTACTACCTCACCATTTCCCCTTTCTAGTTCTCCAGGGCGGGTCCCTTTCTGTCGATAACCTGTTCAGGTAGCCACAGCCCTTCTCAGCTAATTCTTAAGTTATTGATTAGGGGCGATTTCATCTGTAGATCCTTATAGGAGTGGTGGTTAGTTAGGATAGGGTAGGGAATGAATGATGGAAGGGTCTGGTGGAATGCATATTGGCAGAGGAAATAGAACCCTGAGAAAACCTCCTGCGAACCCGCTTTGTTCACCACAAATTCCACTTGGAACCACCTGGGATCGAACCCAGGAACTAGCAGTGGAAGGTGTGCAGGCTGACCACTATGTCATGGGCCACTACTTTACTACTATATTAATAAACATTAATTTTATAAATTTTTGCCTTTGTTACCTTTTATTTTTCATGTTTTATTTGTAAAATAAAGTTTGAGATCATTTATGCAAGTACATCACAATTATTAGTATGACTATTTGGAAATAGATTTTCTCCTATTGGAAAAATATTGTCACTTAAGGGACTGCAAAGAGCAGGAAAAAACATTAGGTAGGATTTCTGTTAATGATTGTATAAAAAAAAAATGACTGAAATTATTTCAATTATTACCATTTGTAAGTATTAGAGTAAGTACTTATTGAAGTTCTTCACATGAGCAAGTTCCAACTGTTAAATACATGGTTCAATAATTTTATTCCAACTTCATTGGACACATTTAATATTGTGATCTTGCAAATAGGACAGCTCTGCATAATATTATTACAGATTTAATAGGCCCATCACGAAGCATCTCCCTTTTTGAAACTTCCATGGCTCAATTGCTGCCCTTTTGTGGTTTCATTTACTAGCTGAAATTAAGTGGAGTAGGTTTCATTTTCATATGTATAAATTTCAAAACCAGGATAAACTTGTGACTGTTTAAAAATACTCGTAAATAAACTTGTCAGGATAGGTGATTATTCAAAGACTTTGTTGTTTGTTTTATTGTTTTTTTGGCTTTGAGTTGCACAAAACTGGAAGAGATGCTTGAATTTTCCACATGTAATCACTTTCACAAATGGTATCCAAAAATTGTTTGGACAGAACTGGAACAAATTATTAAATGATAAAATTAATTTATTTACAAAGACATATACATCAGGAATATTTAAAAAGAACTGAAGAAAAATTAAAAACCACTTCTACACTGCTCATTTGCTGCAATGATTTAATGGACTATTAGATCTTCCTCACCGAGAAGTGAACAATACTTTCCTGCTTTGATGGCATGAGCTGATCTTCTGAAATAGATAAGACTGCAATGCAAGTGCAATTTTTTTTAGTGTGCGTGAATGGAGTATACTGCCTTACTGTTGGAGTTGCATGTAATGAAGTTTATAATTCATTTTGATTGTTTTAAAGTACAATATGAGCTGTAGATAATAGTAATAAATTATTTTAAAAAGAATAAATAAACACAAAAAGGATTTTTCCCAAATCATGAAATGCATTCGGGATTCAAAGAAAGATGGTTGATGGAAGCACTGATGTATCAAATTCATTTCATCATGAAATAACATAGAAATACTCATTCGTAACTATATATATTTTGTTCTTTGTTCAAATTCATGATCATACAATTTGTTAGATTTTAAAATAAACACTGCATCAAATCTGCATGCAAGTATCCTTTTATCTAATAATACTTTCAAGTACCACTCTGCTCTTAATCCAAATAAAGATCATTCATTTTATATTTTCAGAGATTATCATTACAGGACCATAATATGGTCTATTATATAAATAGTTGTTTATGCAATAATAGACCATATTGTACAATTAGTTGTTTCAACAAAAAGATAAACAGTGATATTATTGCTTTTTATTGCTTTGAAGTTTTCATCATCTTCCATATGTATACATTTTCAACTGATGATTATGCCAAGAGGCAAACGGGTTTGATTTGAAAGTTTGGCTAAGTCACACAGGTATTGGTTGATAAGTAGGGTTAGCTTGAAAGACTTTGGAAATAATATCAGGACTAGCCTTAAAGATGCTCTTAGTAGCACTAAAACTTGAACTACAGAGAAATAAATTCTAACATATATAAGTATACATGTGCTAAAGTTTTGACATCCATTACAAAATTCATCACTACGTACAGAGCAGTCAGTCTTTAAAAAACTCAGGTTAATGAACTACCAATACAAGTTTTTGATAACATGTTAAGAATTAACTGATCTCCATTTCGGATCAGACGAACTGGTGTTTTACATCTTTGTAATACTCTAAGTAGATATTTTAGTTTTGTAAATATGTACGTTTGAATTGCTGTGCTTTTCCTAAAAGTGAACATGAAAATATTAGCAAGATTAGCTTTAAACTCATTATTAAACAGTATTTCTGCAAAGAAATATTAATCTTTAAGTATAAATAAAATCTGAATAATGGAATATTTACTAGAACTTTGTAACAGTTCGAAACAATGGGTGATAAAAACAGTATCGTTGATTGCCACCTATACCATTTGTTAATAAATCTTAAATCTTTTTCTAATTCACTTTTAGTTCCAATGTGATATTTGACTATTTCCAGAAATTATGGTTTTATTAAGAAGACTGATTTGAGTTCCATTTGGGACATTAAATGTGAATTCAATGCATATAAAAACATTTTAATATTAAAAGAAAGATAATTTTTGAATTTATTTCCAATTGAGAAACACCTTTCAAACAATTGAGAAAATAATGAAAATATCACATATTATACACAAAATTCTTGACTTTTAATATAGGAAAAGTCAAACAAACAGCGATAAAAAATTTGTTTTGGAAGGATAATTGCTGTGTATTGTCAAAAGCTACAAATCATTCATTTAAATTAAAAGCTGCTCTGCTTCTCAGAAATAATGGCAAAAAATTAGGACAACACTTCAACGTTACCTCAACATTGGACCTGTGTATGGAGCAGAATCACTCCAAAAATCTGAAGGGCTTGATATACGAAATAATGCTACAATATTTTTATTTCGCAGTGTTCTGTCTTCATTCAACTTTCTTTCTTGAAAATAATGGCATGATCGTTCCTCATTTTCAGATAATGAAGAATCGTAAGGTGGTGCTAAAATATCTAAAAATGCCGCAGGTCCATCTACACTATGAATTTCATGCAAATTTCCTTCGTCCGGAGTGAGCACACATGCAGGATCTGAATCACTCACATACACTTCAGGTAACTTCTCCACAAATATGGCATTCCTTCCCATTGCAGTTCTTCTTCTCAGGGTATCTTGCTCTACTGCAGGCAATATGTTGTAACTTTGCAACTTCAGAGTTCCTGTTAGCACTTTCAATATACCATGCATTTGAGGATGATCATGCAAAGGAATCCTCATTCCAGAACGTAATACAAAAATTCCAATTGTAACAGCGTGATCCTCATATATTTCGATATAAGTCACTGGCGGTTTTCGAACGTGATTCGATGAATTGCTGTTTGAAGTCCATTCTAGTAGGCATCGATCAAGTTTAACATCATTTGCCGAAACTGAGTCGGCTAGTGCCCTTAACCTAGCAAAATGGTCCTCGAAAGATTGAACAGTATGACTTCTCGCAAAAGTCTGCAGAGCTTGTCTCCACACACATTCTATCACAGACACCATCTTCATCCCTTTCCATAGCACGTCCTAGCAGTAACTACTCACACTACCTGACACAGTATCATCAACTTGACGTTTCAGACATCCAACTTTTCATTCTTCGCAAACCCTTCCACTTCAATTTTTTAACAACACAATGAATCGCCATTACGCGTTTACTCAAGAGTTGAGCAGCATTGTAGAATCAGGAATATCGCGAGTAATGTTCCGCGCCCTTTGTGGAGAGCATGACAGACAGCTCAGGAAAAACAAGTGAAGGCATCACCAGTGTCTCACTCCTATACATCGATTCTAAACCGATGACGTCTCTTGAAATGTTCAGACGCACTTAATAATATTGTATATTCAGATAGAAGTCCAGGTGCCCTTGATACCTGCTGCATCTATCTATTAATTGAATATCTTTTTTTATATTGATTTCTTTTATATTACCAAAATAGTACCTTATACTTCGTAATAATGACTCCGCCGTTCCGAGATCGGTGAACGATAGTGAAGAACGAGTGGCGGGAAGGAGGGCATTCTGTTTACATAGTGGGAATGACAATTGGAAAGTATGCGTTGCACATGCTCAAGGATGTTTTATATTTATCACATGCGCCGAAGGCCGGAGCATCGTCGCCTAACTTCGACGCGCGTATCAAAACATCAAAATGTCAATTTACACGTTTTCAGCAAAAAGCACTTGACATAAAATACAGTGTATAGTCTCAAGAATGGTATATGTTAATTGCTTAGGATGAAGGCCGAATCCTCGTATCATTCGAGTCGCAGAGCGAAGCATCACTGCGCTTTTTAAGTTTGGGTTTATAAATACGTCAAGCGCGCGGCGCAGTGATGATGTTTGCAATATTCTCTCAAAAGTGAGCCGAATGTCTTATTCATTATAAGGGAAGGTCAGCGTTAACTGAAATATTAAAGGGCGATGTAAGAGCCTCAAATTAATATGTATTATATCAACATGTTTTCTTGAGCCCGGAATATCTACCCCATTCCTTTCCCAACATTAGTTGCATTAAGAATGAATGATAGCAATGAGAGTTGTAGACAAACTCTGGTGACGAATGTTCGCTCCCGTGTATTAAAAACAATTTTGCTGGGAAAATGATCTACAAATTCGACGTAAAATTCCTTTTGTCAAAATAACGAAACTCCCCATTCTTCCGATATAGATGGAACAAATTTTAAAAAAATCTCGAATCTAGCGAAGCGAGGGCTCAAGAAAACGTGTGCGATAATATATGCAGAAGCAATGTAACATGAACGACAGTATGCGAACGCGAACTAGTGATAGCAATCCGCAGGAGCCCCAAGTGTTGATTGAACCGGTAGTACGATTACTTTTCAGACTGATTCGTTGAATCATGATTGAATCAACACCCATAAAGTAGCTATATCTCTCCTTGTATCTCTCCTCTGTCAACACCGCCTAGATTAGTATGTCTAAGGTGGTGTTGGTTGAATCGTTGAAATCGTTCACCAGTTGTGGCGGTATCTGTGCTGTAATTCGTGGAACGCAGCTATCTAGGCGGTTCTTTCAAAATCTAGAGAAAATGGATATTAATGAATAATGTAATTAACATTTTATAAATCATAGAATTTTTAGAACACCTCGAAAGAAACGAACATAATTTGTCTATATGAATCATTTAAATCGTCAATAATATCATATTTTATGTCAAACTGCCTAATTAATCCGGAGTTCCCTTCCAAATGGATAAATAATAAATGCATGGAAGACGTATAAATACTCATGGAATATTTATGAAGTGAGTTGTTACTTTTACATAACTGCATTTATTTCTGGTTTATAAATTTTAAATGTACATTAAATAATAGAACTATAATTTAAAGGTGAATTCTTCAATATACAACATTTTAGGAAGTAGCACGAATGATTCTTCATAGAGGCCTGATGTTCGCTCTCACGATTCGTGAGTTACGAAGTCGATTCACTATTCACTAGCGCCACCACGGAGCAGACATAACATCGAAGAACTACTTGGACGGTGGATCGATTCACTCGAGGTAACTGGTGCAAAAAGTGATCTCAACTATATGAACTCGATCCATAACTGCAATGCTGGAAATCCTTTGGGGGCGTGACGCCTGATTCAGGTGAGTTGGCAAACCTGGAGCGTATTCCAATGTAATTATTACACGCGCACGTTTTTTTGAGCCCCAATACCTACCCCCACTCCTTGGCGAATATTAATTTAATTAAGAATAAATAATAGCAACGAGCGTTGTAGACAAAGTCTTATAATCAGAAATGCTCTCTCCCATGTAATAGAAACTATTTTGAATGGAAAAACGAACGAATCAGTTTGATATAAAATTCCTTTTGTGCAAATAACATAACGCTCCATTCCTCTCGTAACTAGCGTAGCGAGGGCTCAAGAAAATGTGCCCTTATATTAGTACGTGTTTTGGTGCGACGTGGGAAGGTTGAGACTTTATTTCGGTTAATTTTGCTTTTAACAAGGAAAACAATGGTAAAGTATTGTGTTGCGTGCAGTTGAAAAACACCAGAAGACAGAAAGTTCAGTTTCACCAGTAAGAGATTTCTCTTATCTGTGAATCTGAAGAACGCAAGAAACTTAACTCAACGTCAGCAACGTAGCTAACCACTTCGACAGCTACCCCGAAACAGAAAATCACGAAGACAAAAACACCATCTACGTGCCACCACACTATTTCGTAACGAAGTTTCGACAAGATACTAGGGTGAAATTGCCCCCCCCCCCCATACCTTTTAACGTCACGTTCCTGACCGATTACGAACCATTAAAATTATTTCAAAAGTGTATATTTTACCATTTATTTAAATCGCCCACATTTCGCTTTTTATATGCATGTACTAAGTTACGCATATTGCTCACCGCCCCTCCCCACTGAAAAGTTCCCCTCATAATGTCCTAAACACTCCTCGTCCCCCCACCGTGGATTTCCCCTTCGCCGGAGCGACGCGAATTGTCGGTTTAAACGACTTCCGTAAGTTGTGCAGTATACTATACTTCAGCCGATATCACATTTGAAGGAATGTGCTCTTATATTTGATGGTATGTCAATAAGAAAGCAGTTGATCTGGGATCCCAGCAAGAAAAGATTCTCAGATTATGTTAACATGGCATAGCATCTATGGAACTAGCACGGGAGGCCAAGCTCCAAAAATGTATGGATCATTCATAAATTCTGAGTGCACATTAATATTTTAAACTTCAATAATTATTTCTAAGTATGCTTAATTCTGTGATTAATTGTGTAGATTTAAACAAAACAAAATTGCTAAAAGAAATTGTAAGAGTGTATACCACCCTTCGATTAAGAGCAGATTCAAGGAATGTCACAATAAATGAACTTGGAAAGAAAAGCTCTCTAAGACGGAAGTTGAATAAGCTTGTCACAATTTTGAATATGTGATGATATTAAATATTATGAACTATAATTTTGTTTTATCGACATTTATAGATAATGCAGTTCCCAAATATCCGCATTATTTTTAATTTTGGGTAAGAGATGTAGAAATGTAATTTATTATGTCCATGAGAAGGTACAAAACTGAAAAGCAGAGAATTTGATTGTTGATTGAAACATACCGCTTTCGTGAGACTTGGAAATGACTCCATTACAATACAGGAGGAATCTGTTGCGTATTAATCTACAGATCATGCAACAAATATTATATGTTATACAAAAATTGTTTACATTAAATTATTTGTATAATTAATTGTCTGTTTTACAAAACAGAACGAACACAATACGAGAAAGTTAAATAAAGCTTCAATTATACTTACAAGTTAGAAACTTTCCGTTTGTGAATGGATGGTGATACTTGTTGTAGGAGAGTCCAGCAGGAATCCACCAAACGCTTTGATGACCATCTTCCCTTATATCGTCTTTCCATGGCGACGATATCTTGATGAAATCGCTTGCCATGTTCTTCTCACACTTCTCTAAGATTACGGGGGAAGATATCCAAATGGGAATGTAGGAAATGTAATTTCAGAGACATGTGGCACTCCATAGCCTTGTAACAGTCCAACATGTGTTCAGTCCGTTCCCTGTAATTCTCAGACTTTATTTCCCAAGATATTGACGCATACATATTTTAATGCAAGCCAAGCTGTAAAGACATTGCTTTTTCGAATAATGAAAGATAGAAGTTCATGAAAACAAAATTATACTGAAATAAAATGAACACAAGAGCACATGTTCTCATAAATATAATGTGAACAAATGGTCGCTAATGTAAGTATTAACGACGCGAGACGAGAGGCATTCAAATTAATTTTTTGTAATTTTTGAAAAAATAAAAGAATAGAGCAGTCTGATGTTAATGTCATCTCATAGAGTACATTTAGCATTATCACCACCAAAAGTTCTAAGAAAAAATTTTAATACTTTTTTGAGAAAATATGATATTTGATTTTTTTTAATTGCACATATTGCACGCAATATTGCTGGAAAATAACTAAAAATTTCAAAAAAATGTACGTGACCTTAATTAAAAAACGAATCGTGGACAACTAATTTCATTTTAGGGAAAACTCTGTTTCTTCAATTTTGTAATAGTAGGAAGGCGCCCGAAAACTTTCAAAATTTCAAAATGTTGTTAAATTCATTTTTAGCCTAAAAATAGGACCTATGCCACCTTCATACGTGCATTTTACAAGAAATTTAAAGAAAAAATTTGGAGCCTTTTTGAGAAAATTTTCAAAATTTTAAAGAAAGTTTTTCAAATTTTCAA